CCACAAAGCTAATATAAACATCCTTAAATCACCACGATTAAAACACCTATGACTAAGCCAGCAAGCAAAGGAAAACTAGCCGGTAAAGACTGACACCTCTTTCCCCCATCCCCACCACCACCGATCTCCAAGGTGGCACAACCAAGGAGGTCTCCTGTGGCTCACCTTGGGACAGCTTCTCACACGTGGGGCCAATAACTGTGTCTCAGAGGATGTAGGTCCCCCCATTGGCTGACTCAGAAGAGTGTGGGGCTTGAGCTGCTCTGAACAGAGTCTCCCATCATCCCCATGATGAGGTGTTGCACGTCATGAAATTTGAAGTTTCTCAAAAACAAAAGTTGGCAGCCTGAAAGGAACAGAGTCAGATAAGTCTGGATGTGTCAGAATAGTAACTTCAGTTTCCAGGGAGCCGGAATAGGTTTTCTTTCTTGAACTTCTGGATTTAGGTATTTCTGTACTGGGTTTGGGTCCTTGCTTCTGTTTTCCAATGAACTGCAATGAATTCCAGTGAATCCCAATGAATTGAATTAATATGAGTAGTGCTTAGAAGAAATTGACTTGGGGGGCACCTGGGTGGCTCAGACGGTTGGGTGTCTGCCTTCAGCTCAGGTCATGATCCCAGGGTCCTGGGATTGAGCCCGGCATCGGGTTCCCTGCTCAGTAGGGAGCCTGCTTCTCCCTCACCCTCTGCTGCTCCTCCTGTTTGTGCGCTCCCTCTCTCTCTCTCTCAAATAAATAAATAAATCTTAAAAAAAGAGACGAGAGCTTGACTTGGGTATGCTTGTCCTATTAATACTATTTTCCCGTGTCGATGCTTATGATGTATTAGCGAAGCAGGAGCCCTTCCCTTATATCATCTTCTTAGTAACCACAGCATTAGACCACGATTGCTCCCCAGGGACATTTTTCCTGACTCACCCACTGAAGCGAATAGTCAGATGTATTCACTTTCCACTCTGGACTTCAACATCGAACCCCATTTTCTTCCTCTTTCCCAGATTTCGTGTGTGTCACTCACACTTGCATTCCCAGTCTTCCAACCACAGCCCAATTTAGGTGCATTTTAACCTTGTTTTCCTAGTGCTCCCATTGGATCGGAAATTACGGATGCAAAAGAGCCCACGTGTGCCCTCCCTCCCCGACACACATCACACATATCCTAATGGATTCCCATTCTTTTTTTTTTTTTTTTAAGTTTTTGTTTTAATTCCAGTTGGTTAACGTACAGTGTTATCTTAGTTTCAGGTGTACAATATAGTGATTCAACAATTGCGTATATGACCTGGTGTTCATCAGGACAAGGACCCTCCTTAAACCCCATCACCTGTTTATCCCATGCCCCCCAGCCCTCCTTCCCCCTGGAAACCATCAGTTTGATCTCTATAATTAAGAGTCTGTTTCATGAATCCTCTCCCCTATCCCTCTGTCTCTCCCCTCCCCTCACTTTGCTCATTTCTTTTGTTTCTTAAATTCCACATGTGAGTGAAATCCTAAGGGTGGTGATCCAGCTGTCACTTGCCCTCCTGGCTTGCCCAGCGCTGAGTCAGCTGACTTTCAAAGCTCCAGGCTCCAAGTCCCATCGGTCATAGAAACTCACGGTGTTCAGCCCTTCTGGTTTCCACAGCCAAACAGTATGGGTATTAGCGTCCCCCGTGTGAGCTCCCTGGTGCGAGGGCCCATTTCTCTGCCCTCTCCCCATGCACAGCTCCCTCTTTCCTGTGGGCAGCCTCCATCCACATTTCTGACCTTCCTAACCTTTCAGATGCAGCTTCCTCCCTATATTTAGTTGTGGGGTTTGTTCTTCCAGTCCTTGGGTTGCTCTCTGGTTTATTTAATTTTTGTGGATGATATCTAGTTTTAAATGTGGGATGCGGTTAGCTCAGCCTCCTCCTCCTCTGCTATCTTCCCAAGGTCCTCTGGATTCACGTTCTTAAAATGACTTTTTAAATAATATGGTATGTATGAGACCAATGTGCATGAATAACTTTGAAAAACCACTGTAAGTCATGTGAGCAAAAAGGGCATTTTGAACCAGCAGCAATCAGCGTGATAGAAATTAAGTAACTTAGTGAAACAGAGTTTTATTTTTCTAAATGGTCCACAGTCCTTTCTCTGAAAAGGCATATGGCTCTGAAAAGAATTTTTGGGTTCAAAAATTTAGTGCCCCATGTAAATGGCAATTTCTAACGACCACCCACGGGGATTAACTGGCCCTTCATTTTATGGTAGCTTTCCTTGGGTATTTATGCAGCAAACCCCCCATCCCATTTCATATCCCTTTGGCTTTATCTGTCGTCTAATGGGCTCAAGAAAAGGTTGGATTGCTCTAGTTTACCTATTTTTTGTCTCACTGTTTGGCTCAGAGTGACAGCTTTCACAGGTTTCTACATTCAAATCAAAGGTTATTTAGAATTTATTCTAAAAGTTCACATGGAACACACAGCACACATGAAGAAATAGTGGGTTTCCTGCAACTTGTAACACATTTCAAAGGACTGAAGGCCCCACCCCTACCCCCGCCAGTGTGTTCTTCCCTCACAGATATATAGGAAGCTAGAAGTCAATTAAATGGAAAGCACTTGGATAATCACCAACTACTTTGAAATTCAGCATGTACCTAAAGGAAAAGGAAACAAAGGAAGGAAAAAAACCCATGCACCAAGACGAAAAACACAATGAGCATTAAAGTGCATTACCATTACCCTAAGTCTTCCTATCCATCAAATCACTTGAGGCAGAAGAAGGATTCACCTTAGTTCTCTTAATTGCCAAAACAGCCTCCTCTTATTTTGATGCAAAACGATAGGGACAGGTCCCACTGTGACATCTGCATGTTTACACTTCAACCACCCTGGTTAAAAGGAAGAGCTTCAACAGAAACCCACAGGCACACGGACAATCACACCACTTTCCCGCTCAATCACCAGGCTGCATGACACAGGAAGGCTGTTATTGGTTCAGGCCTGGTCACCCCACCACCCTTTGGGCCAATGGCCGTGGATCCTGCGCTGCCGGTTTCTTATTGGCTGCTGCTAGCAGAGGCTGGGAGCACAGCTGCTCTCATTGGATGACCCCGTCATCCAGGCATAACTGCAGTGCAGGAAGCCTTTTGTGTCAAAACGAAAGATGGTAGGCTACCAAGGCACAAAATCAGATAAATTTGAATGAAGTAAAGTATGGCTTTCTTTTTTTAATTTAATTTTATTTATTTATTTGTTTGTTTATTTATTTATTTATTTATTTTTATTTTATTGTGTTTCGTTAGTCACCTAAAGTAGGCCTTTCACAAGGTCGGGAGCTTGAGTAGGGCATGATTCTGGATAGTTTGAGTTTTCTGCACGGTGTTTGGGTCTTCTTTCATGTATTTCACTGAATTAGGATGAGGGGATACGTTGAGGGATTGTGAATGGGGTAAGTGTGAGTTTTGTATCTGCTACAGCGCTTCACTTGTTGCTATATCAACACACTCGAAAATTCTCTAGACGATACTACTCTACACAAGTGGGAGAAGGAGAATACAAAAGGCAAGTAAAATTATTGTGGACTCAGCTGTGACGTAGAGTCCCAAAGACGCCGACCTGAAGGAATGGGCCACTTAGGAAAGTGATAAAATGCGACATGGTCAAGGAAAATCATAACAGACTGCAGCACACACATATTTTAAAGTGGACTTGCTCACGGTAAAGGTGTTTGAAGAACGGACAGAATGGCACAGGTCCAAACGCTAGAGTAGGTGGCACTCTGGAGAGTTACAGGTCTCTTTGTGCCAAGTGAGGTGGCTCTGAAAAGAGCCTTTGGTTTGCGAGGTGGTCAGGCGGTCCTGAGGCAGCTCATTGGCAGAGGGTGTACCTCATGATGGCCTTGCTGCCCTCGGACATGGCGAACTTGCCCATCTCCCCGGGCAGCAGCAGGCGCACGGCCGTCTGGATCTCCCTGGAGGTGATGGTGGAGCGCTTGGTGGTGCGGACCAGGTGAGAGGCCTCGCTGGTGATGCGCTCGAAGATGTCCTTGACGAACGAATCCATGACGCTCACGGCCTCCTGCGAGAGGCTCAGGCCGTCGTGAACATTCCTCAGAACCCTGGGGAAGTAGGCGGCGAAACTGTCGGGGCAGCGGCGGCGGCCGCGGCGGCCACGGCGGCGGCCTCCGCGCCTCGGCTCCTTCTGCTTCGGGCTCTTCGGGTCCGCTGCCGTGGGCTCCTCGGTGCCGAGGCTTTCCTCAGAAGAGGTCTCACAGCCAGGTTCAGCCATGTGGGGCTCGCCTTCCCGACAGCTCGGAAGGAAGGGCACTGGCGGCAGCTTGAGCAGCGCGGGCCCATTTATAGTCGCTTCATTTCCTGACGTCACCGGCAAGTCCTATCTGATTGGACAACATGCAAAACCAAGAAGCGGGTCACTGAGCCAGGTCCTGTCAGGTCTGACTGCTTGCCCTCGAGCTTGACGTCTCTTCAGTCAGAGTCGGAATCAGGCGTCCTCTAATTTTCTTGTGACGGCCTCCAGAAAAATGTTCAAACATTCCTTGTAAAGGTGACATTTCCTCCAGATTTCCAATACGAATTTTTTTTTTTTTTAAAGAGAATCAGAGAGAGAGGGAGGGGAGTACGGGGATGGGCAGGGGGAGAGGGAGAGATTCCCAAGCGGGGTCCAAGCTCAGCACAGAGCCTGAAGTTGCTCTGTATTTCACAACCCTGAGATCGTGACCCGACATCTGGAGGTAAACTACATCTTTACACGGAATGTTTGAACATTTTTCTGGAGGCCGTCACAAGAAAATTAGAGGACGCCTGATTCCGACTCTGACTGAAGAGACGTCAAGCTCGAGGGCAAGCAGTCAGACCTGACAGGACCTGGCTCAGTGACCCGCTTCTTGGTTTTGCATGTTGTCCAATCAGATAGGACTTGCCGGTGACGTCAGGAAATGAAGCGACTATAAATGGGCCCGCGCTGCTCAAGCTGCCGCCAGTGCCCTTCCTTCCGAGCTGTCGGGAAGGCGAGCCCCACATGGCTGAACCTGGCTGTGAGACCTCTTCTGAGGAAAGCCTCGGCACCGAGGAGCCCACGGCAGCGGACCCGAAGAGCCCGAAGCAGAAGGAGCCGAGGCGCGGAGGCCGCCGCCGTGGCCGCCGCGGCCGCCGCCGCTGCCCCGACAGTTTCGCCGCCTACTTCCCCAGGGTTCTGAGGAATGTTCACGACGGCCTGAGCCTCTCGCAGGAGGCCGTGAGCGTCATGGATTCGTTCGTCAAGGACATCTTCGAGCGCATCACCAGCGAGGCCTCTCACCTGGTCCGCACCACCAAGCGCTCCACCATCACCTCCAGGGAGATCCAGACGGCCGTGCGCCTGCTGCTGCCCGGGGAGATGGGCAAGCACGCCGTGTCTGAGGCCACCAAGGCCGTCATCAGGTTCAACGCAAGCAAATGAGCTGCCCCTGGACCACCTGACCACCTCGCAAACCAAAGGCTCTTTTCAGAGCCACCTCACTTGGCACAAAGAGACCTGTAACTCTCCAGAGTGCCACCTACTCTAGCGTTTGGACCTGTGCCATTCTGTCCGTTCTTCAAACTCCTTTACCTTGAGCAAGTCCACTTTAATATATGTGTGTGCTGCAGTCTGTTATGATTTTCCTTGACCATGTCGCATTTTATCACTTTCCTAAGTGGCCCATTCCTTCAGGTCGGCGTCTTTGGGACTCTACGTCACAGCTGAGTCCACAATAATTTTACTTGCCTTTTGTATTCTCCTTCTCCCACTTGTGTAGAGTAGTATCGTCTAGAGAATTTTCGAGTGTGTTGATATAGCAACAAGTGAAGCGCTGTAGCAGATACAAAACTCACACCCCATTCACAATCCCTCAACGTATCCCCTCATCCTAATTCAGTGAAATACATGAAAGAAGACCCAAACACCGTGCAGAAAACTCAAACTATCCAGAATCATGCCCTACTCAAGCTCCCGACCTTGTGAAAGGCCTACTTTAGGTGACTAACGAAACACAATAAAATAAAAATAAATAAATAAACAAACAAACAAATAAATAAATAAATAAAATTTAAAAAGGAAAGCCATACTTTACTTCATTCAAATTTATCTGATTTTGTGCCTTGGTAGCCTACCATCTTTCGTTTTGACACAAAAGGCTTCCTGCACTGCAGTTATGCCTGGATGACGGGGTCATCCAATGAGAGCAGCTGTGCTCCCAGCCTCTGCTAGCAGCAGCCAATAAGAAACCGGCAGCGCAGGATGCACGGCCATTGGCCCAAAGGGTGGTGGGGTGACCAGGCCTGAACCAATAACAGCCTTCCTGTGTCATGCAGCCTGGTGATTGAGGGGGAAAGCGGTGTGATTGTCCGTGTGCCTGTGGGTTTCTGTTGAAGCTCTTCCTTTTAACCGGGGTGGTTGAAGTGTAAACATGCAGATGTCACAGTGAGACCTGTCCCTATCGTTTTGCATCAAAATAAGAGGAGGCTGTTTGGCAATTAAGAGAACTAAGGTGAATCCTTCTACCTCAAGTGATTTGGTGGATAGGAAGACTTAGGGTAATGGTAATGTACTTTAATGCTCAGTGTGTTTTTCGTCTTGGTGCATGGGTTTTTTTTCCTTCCTTTGTTTCCTTTTCCTTTAGGTACATGCTGAATTTCAAAGTAGTTGGTGATTATCCAAGTGCTTTCCATTTAATTGACTTCTAGCTTCCTATATATCTGTGAAGGAAGAACACACTGGCGGGGGTAGGGGTGGGGCCTTCAATCCTTTGAAATGTGTTACAAGTTGCAGGAAACCCACTATTTCTTCATGTGTGCTGTGTGTTCCATGTGAACTTTTTTTTTTTTTAAAGATTTATTTATTTGAGAGAGCGAGAATGAGAGAGAGAGAGTACATGAGAGGGGGGAGGGTCAGAGGGAGAAGCAGGCTCCTCGCTGAGCAGGGAGCCTGATGTCGGACTCGATCCCAGGACTCCGGGATCATGACCTGAGCTGAAGGCAGTCGCTTAACCAACTGAGCCACCCAGGCGCCCTCCATGTGAACTTTTAAAATAAATTCTAAATAACCTTTGAGCTGAATGTAGAAACCTGTGAAAGGTGTCACTCTGAGCCAAACAGTGAGACAAAAGCTAGGTAAACTAGAGCAATCCAACCTTTTCTTGGGCCCATTAGACGACAGATAAAGCCAAAGGGATATGAAATGGAATGGGGGGTTTGCTGCATAAATACCCAAGGAAAGCTACCATAAAATGAAGTGCCAGTAAATCCCTGTAGGTGGTCCTTAGAAATTGACATTTACATGGGGAACTAAATTTTTGAACCCAAAAATTCTTTTCAGAGCCGTATGCCTTTTCAGAGAAAGGACTGTGGACCATTTAGAAAAATAAAATTCTGTTTCATAAGTCACTTAATTTCTATCATGCTGACTGCTGCTGGTTCAAAATGCCTTTTTGGACCACATGAATTACAGTGGTTTTTCAGTTATTCATGCACATTGGTCTCGTACATATATTATTTAAAAAGTCATTTTAAGAACGTGAATCCAGAGGACCTTGGGAAGATGGCAGAATAGGAGGAGCCTGAGCTCACCCTGTCCCACATTTTAAACTAGATATCCTCCTCAAATATTCAATAAACTAGAGAGCAACCCAAGGACTGGAAGAAAAAAACCCACAACTAAATATAGGGAGGAAGCTGCATCTGAAAGGTTAGGAAGGTCAGAAATGTGGATGGAGGCTGCCCACAGGAAAGAGGGAGCTGTGCATGGGGAGAGGGCAGAGAAATGGGCCCTCGCACCAGGGAGCTCACACGGGGGACGCTAATACCCATACTGTTTGGCTGTGGAAACCAGAAGGGCTGAATACCGGGAGTTTCTATAACCGATGGGACTTGGAGCCTGGAGCTTTGAAAGTCCGCTGACTCGGCGCTGGGCAAGCCAGGAGGGCGAGTGACAGCTGGATCACCACCTTTAGAGAGAGAGCAGCCTGTGTGGAGAAGCGACATAAAAACGGCAGTTTGCACCATGCCAGGGGCAAACGGGAGACAGAACCGTTCATACTGATTTTGGAGCGCGGTGGGGGACTTCTCTGAAGAGGAAGGAGCTGCAGGTGCCATTTTCCTCCCCTGCCCCCCAGCATAAACACGGGGCCATGTGAGCACTGCAGAGACACTTGCTACTTAACCTGCTAGCAGTGTGCCATGCCCACCAGTTCTCCTGAGGACTTGCCCAATGCAGGCCTGCTGGCCTCAGCCCTGGGTTCAGGGCAAATTTTGTTAAAGCAGTGCATACCACACCCAGCCACCGGGTGCACAGCTGCTTCCCCGCCCAGCTGCTGAACCACGCCCAGCTGTCATGCCTTGCCCGGCCGGGCACCTGCAGCCACCATTGTGGGCAGGGCCCAGCTACACCCAGCCATTGCCTCGAGCCACCCCCAGCCTCATGCCCCTGGCCAACCCCACGCACAGACCCAGCCACCACAGCGCTTGGGGGAATCCGGCATAGGACTGGTGGCCCAATGCAAATTTTGCTCCCAAGTTCCCTGGTGGGCACATCCCCCTGTCCCCAGAGCTGGCCTGCCTGGGTCCCAGTAACACCACAGAGAACAAGCACAGCCCACAACAGGCAGAGAGTCAGCGCAGATGACTGCACTGAAAGGAAAGTGACTCAGACACAACAGCAGGGCTTAAGCAACACACATAGGATATTCTCCTGAAGTGCCAGGTTCTGGTGAACAGGGGACACTGCACTGCAGGGCCCTCTGGGACTACTTCTTCATAAAGTCACTACTTTCAAGAGCAGAAGACGTAGCTGACTTTCATAACACGCAGGAACAGATACAGAGAGGCAGACAAAACGAGGAGACAGAGAACTTTATCCCCTATGAAAGAACGGGATGAAGCCACGGCCAGAGATCTAAGCAAAACAGATATAAGTATATGCCTGATAGAGAATTTAAAGCAACGATCAGTAAGGATACTCACTGAACTTAGGAAAAGAGTGGAAGACATGAGTGAGACCCTTAACACAGAGATAAAGAGTAACATAGCAGAGATAAAGGGCTCAGTAAACGAAATGAGAAACACGTTTGATGGAATGAACAGCAGGAGGAAGAAGCAGAGGAATGAATTGGTGACCTGGAAGACAGAGTAATGGAAAAGAATCAAGTGGAACAACAGAGATAAAAAAGACTTATGCAAAACGAGAATAGACTTAGGGACCTCAGGGACTCCATCAAAGGCAATGACACTCACATTATAGGAGTCCCAGAAGAAGAAGCGAGAGAAAAGGAGGCAGAACATTTATTTGAAGAAATAATAGCTGAAAACTTCCCTAACCTGGGGAAGGAAGCAGACATCCAGATCCAGGACGCACAGAGAACTCCCATCAAAATCAACAGAAACAGACCCACGCCAAGAAATATGTAATTAAATCGGCAAAATATAGTGATAAAGGAAAATTTGAAAAGCAGAAAGACAAAAGAAGACAGTATTTACAAGGGAAAACCAAAACCCGAAAGGCTAGCAGGAGACTTTTCTTTTCTTTTCTTTTTTTTTTTTTTTAAGATTTTATTTATCTATTTGACAGAGAGATAGAGAGCACGAGTAGGCAGAGTGGCAGGCAGAGGGAGAGGGAGAAGCAGGCTCTCCACTGAGCAGGGAGTTGGACGTGGGGCTCGATCCCAGGACCCCAGGATCATGACCTGAGCCGAAGGCAGCCGCTTAACCGACTGAGCCACCCAGGCGCCCCATAGCAGGAGACTTTTCAAGAGAAAGTTTGCAAGCCGGAAGGGAGTGGCATGATAGATGCAGAGTGCTGAAAGGAAAGAATCTACAGCCAAGAAGACTCTATCCAGCAAGGCTACCATTCAGAATAGAAGGAGAAAGAGAGTTTCCCAGACAAACCAAAACTAAAGGAGTTCGTGACCACTAAACCAGCCCTGCGAGAAATATTAAAGGGGACTCTTTGAGTGGAAAGAAGAGACGAAAAGAGACAGTATAAAGGTAGAAAAACCACAAAAGCACTAGAATTTGAGTATTTCAGTAAAAAGTTAGTCAAGGAATTCACAAAATAAAAGGATTTAAAATGTAGCAACACAGGGGCGCCTGGGTGGCTCAGTCGGTTGAGCGTCTGACTCTCGATTTCGGCTCAGGTCTTGATCTTGGGGTTGTGGGATCGAGCCCCATGTTGGGCTCCATGGCCGGCGTGGAACCTGCTTACGATTCTCTCTCTCCTCCTTCTTCTTCCCCTCCCCACTCTCTCCCTCTCTAAGAAAAAGAAAAAGAAAAATAAATAAAAACTACAATGTAACAACATATACCTAAAACATGGGGAGCAGAGGAGTCAAGAATGGGTTTAAACTTAAGGGACCATCAACTTGATATAGATTGCTGCATATAGAAGAGGTAATATACAAACTTAATGGTAACCAC